TATCTTGGCTCTAACGGATGTGGCCTATGTATGTGGCCATCGACCTAACCCACGCACTTGCGAAATTCCTAATCCATACTGCGTATTATTATGATGTACTGTTGAGTACAAGTAGAGTACGAGTTGACCACAACTTCCTTTCCTAGTTTCTCTACAAATCTGGGTTTGGCGAACCTCTTCTGTCCTGGTTCAAATCTTATCTGTTCTGTAGATTCCAATTTCTAAAAATCTATGGATGTAAGTCTGAGGTCCTTCCTATCACCTCGGGAGTTCCCCAAGGTGGCCATCTTTCACCCTTTCTTTTTGCATTATTCATCAATGACATAAAAAAAATCATCCCTAATTGTAATTTCCTCGCCTTTGCTGATGACATTAAAATTTTTCGCCAAATTGAATCAACAGAGGACTGTCTTGCACTGCAGGTCGAACTCAATAATCTAGTTATATGGATAAACTCTATCGGCCTCCACTTAAATGTCAGCAAATGCCAGTCAATGTCTTTTTCTCGCAGCAGAAACGCCATAGTTCACAACTATACCATCAATGATACTGTGCTTGAATCTGTTACAAGTAAAAAGACCTAGGAGACCTCTTCTTACCAGTAATCTAAATTACCACTCACATATCCAATCGATAGGTTGCAAAGCCTATAAGATGTTAGGATTTATAAGACGTGTTTCATCCGATTTTAAACTGTCCTCATTTTTCTCTATTGCTCTCTAGTTCACCCTTTATAAGAATACGCTTGCATCCTATGGGATCTCTACACTCATTAATCATGGAGCGCGTTCAGAGGCTCGTCAGAATTGTCTGAACCACAAATTATAATGATTAAGATATTATCACAGATAATTTAAATTTTTTTATTTCCTACCGAAATATGTAGGTATTATTCCTATCAATATAAATTTTGAAAAATAAGATGAATATAAAATATAAATCAATATTCAATTACATGTTACATAAGCACATTTACTTAGTTAAATATATTATATTTGGAAATTTGGACTAGAATAAAGTTAAAATTCTGTAACCATAAGGTGAAATGTGCACGCCGGAACAATACATCGATGCCCGGGCATGTTGAAAAATTAAATACTATACTCCGCGCCACGAGAGAATGCATACGGCACGCGCATACAAATGACTGCGCTCCGCTGTCTCGAGGCCAAAAGTCCCCACCATGCGGCAACTGGTCACTGCATACAGCGGTTCCACGAGGATTTATTTTCATTGGTGAAATGTTGATGGTTCCACTTCCACTGTCTTCGTCCATTGTATTGAAAGAGTAAAAAATGTAAAATCGGTTTAGTGAAAAAAAAATACGGCGCGCTCGTTGTTCATAAACGAGAATCGGTAAACGACAAACGACGTTTTGGAAAATATGTTTGTTATTGTGATCGCAGTGTACACACCTGCCGACGAAACCGGTGAGCTCCGGAACAAGCCGACCGGTGGAGATCGTGCTGGTAAAGTGGTAGGGATGCGCGAAAAAATACGTGTTTTGGTCGGCCGCCGTATGCATTCTCTCGTGGCGCGGAGTATAGTCTAAAATCTAAATGCTAGAATATATGTCAATATATCAATATATTCCAACCACGATGACACGATGTAGTCACTCGAGTTTAAAAGTGGTCCTAATCAGACGGCACTTTGGTTAGCGCGCCTTCCGCCAGGTAGCGCTAAAGAGGCCGATCAACACTCAACAGCCTGCAATGCTGCTATCGAGAAGGCCGCATTGTAATTTGTAATGCCGTTTTGCGTATTATCCGCGGTAAAGTTTTAAAATTTCAGATTACAGTGTTCATTCAAATTTATAATAAATATAATCAAATATGCACTATATAATATTATAATACTATTTACAGATAAGTTCCTATCTTTCCGTGGTAATTTATTAGCCCATATAGTCCTGCGAGATAAATAATTTTAAAATGTTCATGTTTATACCAGAATACTTGTATTAGCTGTTTAATCTGTTATAATTTTAATTATTATTTATTTAGACCTGATATTCTGTGGTAAAAGTGATTTACAAAAGTGTAACGTTCTTGGTAACTTGGTGCCTACTATTGTAGTAATAATAATAGACAAGTGGCTACCAGTACGTAAACGTTGCAGGTCGCAGACACTTCTTCAGATGAAATAGTCGTGGTTGATGAATAAATGATATAACAGTTGTATAATATTGTGAATTTTATTATTACACTTCAATAATTTTTCTAAGTTCAAATATTGTCGTACAGAGTGGCGTGAAGGTGCTTGCACTAATGGTTGGTAGTACACGTCTGAAAAAAGGCCTATTCGGGCTCCCTGAAGTTCCCCGTGCCCCTCGCCTATAGATACGGTATCTTCGTTCTCACGGTGTGGTCATCATTCTAGCCCACGCATTTACGATTGAATGTATTACTAGTTTATGATTAATCATTTTACTCTTTAATAATTGAATTTCATCGTATATGTCCAGTATTCCTGTCAAATATGACAACCACCTATTTTTGAACTCTATTGTCCTTAAGATCATACCGATCTATTGTATATTATAATGACTATGCACTCGTGATTTATGATTTATTGTCACGTAGTAACTTGCTTACTACAAAAGCATGCTGCTGGGAAAAGCATAATGATAATATCAAACTAATTCAGACCTTAGTCAATATCAAAGATGCTTTACAACGTCGAACGTCTGATTCTGAACAAAATAAGTCAGTTAAGGAAGCTGAGATAAGGTTAGCTGAATTTTTTGTTGAACACAATTTGGCCTTTGATTTAAGTGATCACTTAACCGAAGTAATTAGGAAATGCTTTACGGATTCAGTAATTTCAAAATATTTAACATTAAACCGAACCAAATGTACAAGTATTGTTAAAAATATAATTGCAAATGTTGAATCCACAGAAACAATTGATAATTTAAGACATTTACCATTTTCTATTCTAATTGATGATAGCACTAATATGACCGATCACAAATTCATGTGCGCTTTAGTTATGTCTCCAGCAACAGGAAGTATGAGAAAAGAATTATTAGAGCTTATATTAATGGATGCCACTTACTGTAGGGCAGAAATAATCTATGATGCATTTAAAAATTGTTTAATTTACAAAAATATGCATCTATTTAATATCTTAGGTTTAGCTTCAGACGGTGCTAATATAATGAATTATGGTTGGAAAGAATAATTTTTTTTTTAGTCATTTAACTCAGGATGTTCCATCTGTTATATTGATGAGATGCCTATGTCACTCATCCACTTTATTTGCTTGGAAGACTGGTGAGAAACTTCCAAGAGGCCATGAAGAATTATTGAGAAGTATTTCAATTTATTGTTCAAGGAGTGCTAAACGCTGAGCTCAATTGTGTGAAATGCAAGATTATTTTCATATTGAAAGAAAAAAAAATTTAAAACTTGTTACTACAATATATAAGTATATTAGAATTATGGACAGTTTTATTGTTTTATTTTAGAGTTGCAGTGTTAGAATATTAAGTACAGAAAATATTCGAAAAATCAATGGAAAACCATTTTAGTATGGCTTATTTATTATTTTTCAAGTATGTGTTGAGCTTTATCAATTCTTTTAATGGCTTGTTTCAAAGTAAACAAATTTAATTCATAAAAATATTGAAACGTCGGAAAATATGTTAAAAGATTTTTACATAAAGTTGGATGTTCTCAGTAAAAGAGTTAAAAAGTATAAATGTTGCAGGTCCATACAATTATTTACCAAACAAGAATATTAATTTAGGGACAGAATGCGATAAATATATTCAATGTTTTTCTTCTGGAACCTATGAACAGGTAAAAAATATGTGATCAGAATTTTACGGTTACAGCTGCAATACAAATTTAAAAAAGGATACCTATTAATAAAAAAATGTTTCGATAACTTCAATTTCTTGATCTGAACTTGGCATTATATGATACTTCAGAAAATAATTCTGAAATTAATTTTGAAATTTTAATCGATAAACTTAATGAGCCACTTGATTTAAATACAATACAGACTGAATGGAGGCGAATGAAGATTTTAATAAATGACAATTATAAAACAAAGTGATTATTATTAGCTGTTGATGAATTTTGGCATACTTTATCAAAACTGAAAAATTATTCTGATACCTATCAATATCTTAATATATCCAAACTTGCCCAAATTTGTTTAGGTCTTCCACATTCAAATGCTGAAGCAGAAAGAATTTTCTCAGTTGTAACAGACGTAAAATCAAAAAAAATTTAATCGTATAGGAGATGATACTCTAAATTCAGTTGTAGTTATTTGGTCGGCTTACGTAACAAAAGGAATAAACTGTCTAAGTTTTTTAGTCTCTGAAAAACATTTACAACTTCACAACTCCAACAATCTCTACATCAAATAAAAAATAAATTCATTATCATTAATAATTGTTTGTTTTTTTATAAATATTTTTTTGATATAAGTACAACATAATATCAAAATATGTTACACAATATAATTAGTTTGAAATTGTATGAAGCCTGGAGAAAAATTTTCTGATCTTCATCTAGCTACACTGGCACCGTGACGATGAGCGGGCGAAGAACACTTCTTCCAAAATGTAATATTATTGATAACATGTTGGAAGAACATTATTGCCAACATCAAAAAACAATAAATAAAATGATTCAGTTGTACCAACACGGCTTTTATATATTTTAAATTGATATAATTGATATAATTGATATATAATATTAATAGATTGAAAATATTATAAAATATTGAAAATACTAGTATTTATAATCAATGATATTAAACAATAAACATTATGTTTATGTCATTATTACATAACATGATAACATTAATTAAATTCGTAAAAAATTCGTGACACGTGTTTTAGTCATAGTTAACTAAAACTATAGATGTTTATACTATAAAAAATTAAAATAAATGTAATTGTTCCACATATAAAATAGTTATCGTCTATAAATCACAAAAATATTGTTCATCATTTTAAAAAAATAAATAAAATTTAAATATTAATCTGCTGGAATAGGACCAATCTGACGTCTCAGATACCCATCATTAGCATGGCCCATTTGTGTAAGACATCTAATAATATTGCCATGTTCATTAAGCTGCTCAATAGCTCTTTTCAACATATGAGTATTTATAGCCCGTTCACTTCTAGAAGTTTGATCTCGGATCTAAACATAAAATATATAATGATAAGGTATGTATATAATATATTATATATTAATAATTTATATAGTGTTAAAATATTTTAAAAACAAAATAAGTACTGTTAAGTTTTTGCTGGCTTGTATAAATTCTACAAAGAATTGATTTTCTAATATTCTTAGTTTCTCTATAAATAATAAAGTGTAATTAATTTAATTTAATTAATTTGTATAGAAATAACAATACTTTAAAAATTCTTACGTAAAAAGTCCCAGATATTTGGGTGATTTCCAAAAAACCTTAACAACTGGCTATGAAAGGACTCTGAAAGTAATTATTAGTCCTTAATTCACTACCAAAGACACTAATAAAAGCTGGTCCAACTTGATTCAGCCAACAATTTTGTATGTATCTATCAATTAATATTAGTAGTTAAAAAAAAACTAAATTAATATACATTAATGTTAATGTATGATATTAATGCTTTTATCTTTTTTTTTCAGATTTATATCAACTTCATGTTTAACTGAATCATTAGTTATGTATTTGAGTAAATATACTCAAATAAAAATGTTTGCATGCGATTGTACACGTCTGGATACTGCTGGATATAGGCTACAATTTCTCTAAAGCCATCTTCAATACAAAATTGTTGGCAATCTGCATGACCTCTGGTAGCTGGTAGATGTAGGTAGATCTGGAATTTTTGGTCTTCGACGGTTCCGCATTCTTTTGCTCCTCAGCTGAGTTTGTTGGAATGTATATCCCCAACTTCCACGAGGATGACTAAAAAGTATAAACGTCTAAGGTAATTATCTACTATTAGTGACAATTATCATAGGCGTAACCAGACCTCAAAGTTAGGGGGAAGGCTTCAGTCCTATTTTTATAATAAATAAACTAAGTGGGGGACTCTCCCCCCACACCCCCCAAACCATATAGTTTTAAGCATTCCATATATATTTTTTTGTAATAGTGATTGATAAATTTTTAAGAATTATGATATGAGGGGGCTAAAATATAAGTTAGGGGGGCTTAGCCAAGTCTCCCCCTAGTTACGCCTATGACTATTATATAAGTTTCTTTACCTAATGATTTCTTCATTATAGATTTGCCTGATTGGCAGAGACATAGCGCCTATTGCTATTGAGCGTTTTCTTACTGCTTGCCTCAAGAATAGCATATCCATGTCAACCTCAACAGCTCTGTCCACCAGGCTGAATATCTAAATGATTCCCTTGATTGTTAATGTTAATTATGGCGGTTGCTGCACAATATTGTTCTGCTTTCTTAGTTCTTTGTTTTTCACAAATCAAGTACCTTATGACAGAATCTAAGTATAACTATTAAAATATAAAGGATAAGTTCAATATACTAAAATTTTATTCCTTACAACACTTTTCTTATAATATTTATAATTAAAATTGTCAATGTATATTTTGGAGTTATTGTGTACTCCTGGTATGATTGTGTATGTGCGATTACGTTGTAAGTTTTCTAAAATGAAAAAAATTAATTAAAATTAAATATCAATGACTAAATAAATATTAATAATTATAACAATTATTTTTATAAAATATAAATACAAATTACCAGCTTCATAATTATCTATAGGTTCTTCATTTTCATCATTTTCATCATTTTCTTCAATTACTAAATTATATTATATTTATTTAAAGTATATTGTAGCAAGTTAAATTATATTTGTAAATTACCTTCATCCAACTCTGAATCTGAACTATTATCTTCAACTAAAAAAATTTAATTTAAGTAGTACCCTAACTATGGTAACCGGCTAATTCGGCGAAATCTATTTCGGCGAAAGACATTTCGGCGAATCTTTTTCGGCGAATGGATATACCGGCGAACGGTTATATCGGCGAATGGACGTATCGGCGAACGAATATATTGGCGAAACCACAATACCTAACCGGAAATTTACAAATTTAAATTCCATATTATATAAATAATAATTAAATAAAAAGAGACGTTCTAGGACCATATATACTTATAATAATTACTTTGTAAAAATGTATAATATTAATTCAATAATTTAGTCAATAAAAATAATATAAATAATATTGTAATAAAAATAATACTAAAAATTTAAAAGTCAATATTGTATGCCAAACTTTTTAAATATGGTATAATGTCTTGGTTTGAATAATTTGTCACCTTTGTTTTTATATTTTCTGTGGTTCTTTTCCATTTTAATTTCTGTTTTTCTTCTTTGCCAGCCTCAATGTGTGCCACTTTTAATTTAGCTAGCCCGACCTCCCTTTGTAGGCCTTCAAACATCTTCCAAATTGATACATGATGACCACCGACTTGCTTTTGAAAGCCATTATGCCATCCTTCCAAACCATTATTGGTACGAGCTAGTCCATGTATGGCAGCTTCGTAGAGATTCCACAATTTTGGCGTTCGTCTTGTCCGTCTCATGGGCCGTGATTAAACCCGTGACCACGAAATCCCCACCGATAACTAATTTTTTTTTTTTATTAAAATAGAAAATGTACACAATTGTGTAGCAAAATATGTACAATAAGCAAATAGGAAAAGTGATGGAGAATAGTTGTTGGTTAGGAATTTATTGACGTATTAAATTAGAAACAAACTCTGTGTTACGTATATTTAAATATTTGTGTTTAATGTAATTTCGCCGATATATTCGTTCGCCGATACATCCATTCGCCGATATACCCATTCGCCGAAAAAGTTTCGCCGAAATCTCTTTCGCCGAAATTACTTTCGCCGAGATATCCTATAACCCCCTAACTATTTATTTTAATAAAAAAAGTGCAATTTGGATTTAATCTTAAACTCATTTACTGTCTGTTACTGATATTATATGTATATACTAAAAACCTCAATCAAAAGTTTGCATTATTTTTTGGATGGAAATTAACTTAATTTAGATACTTTTGAATAAAATTAACTTGATGTTAACACGTTAATCTTAAAAAAAGTTACTTATTAGGTTAAAGTTAATTTGAAAAAAACAATAATGAGTTAATTAACTTAACGTTCAACTTAATTTTAACTTGTTAATGCCCAGCCTTTAGTATTTGGAAATGAAAATTTAATTATTTTTACTTGCTATATAATAATTTTGATCAACTATGTGTCTGTCTACTGCAATTTGACCAATATCTGCATATGTATGGTCATTTAACACATCTTCATTGCAATTCTCCATAGTTTTTATTTTAATTAAATAATCTTTTAGATTAACACTGGTACGTGTTGTCGTATTGAGCAGTGAAGATACTTTAAAGAATTATATGTTACCTTGTTTTATTCAATATATTATGTTACTCACTACTATAAGGTCACACAATGGTGACTGGGAATTGAGATAATAGTGTAATCACTGTAATCTTAATGGTTATTGAACATATAATAATAGTAGGATCCAGAAATTCCTTCCAAGATCAGGTTTTATAATTATAGGACATAGGTATCTCATTTTCTCAATACCTATATAAAAATAAAAATGGAAATTTTAAACACAATTTGTTAATAAATAAATAAACACAGTTTGGAAAGTTGTTGGTTATAATTTTCCAATAATATTGTAGTCAGTCCAAAGGATGGTGATTTTGAAATAAGCGGTAGACAATTTGAACAGTAAATTTAAATAATATATATTTCTATAGTATAAATTGTACAGTAGCTTAGATTGTGAGTAGCTGATGCTGCTCTGGTCTTAACAGCTTAATTTAATTTGTGATTAACGTCTCTCTAAATGTTGTTAGTCTTATTTTTAAATAAATTTATACATTCACTTGTAATGATTGTGTTTTATATGAATTGGACCACCTGAATTGCCCTGTAATATCGTAATTATAAATTGTAATAAAAGAAATGTTTATGATGCAAAAACGTAATTAATAATTATTTGTATAGAAATTAGACATACTTACTTCACAAACGCCTTTTCAATCTCCTGAATTGAACTGGAAGTTGTAAGCATACAAAATATTTGGTATATATTTGGTACTATATAGAAATCAATGGCTTATTATATTCATACGTACATACATATTCTAGTTAAAGTTCATGACTAAATAGATTTTATTCTATTTAATTATAATATTTTTCGGGGATTTTATTTCAGGTCTTTTTTTCCCGGTTTTTTTTTCGAATATCAACTAAAATGTGATAGTATTGATAAAATTGATAGTATGAACACAGAACAAACAGAAGGGAATCTTAAGGCTCATCGAAAAACCGTCCGACATTTCTAGATTTTAAACGTGCTGCCACATACCGAGAAATTCCCTTTTTTTAAAGTTTGCTGTGGTTTGTGGCTACACTGTTAATCTGCAATTCCACATATTTTATTATTAATTTCCATAAAATATGCATAGTTTTTGTTTTTCTTAGATTCTATACTTAGATAAATGGTAAAAATGCAATTTCTTAAAAAAAATCGGTTTGATTGTTTGAATATAATAATATATTAGAAATTTGAACGAATAAACAGTGCTGCACAATATAAAGAAAAAAGAGAAATTCCCGGTACGTGGCAGCACGTTTAAATTTTAGAAATGTCGGACGTGGTTTTATCATCTCCCATAAGAGCCTATGTTAAATGAAATAAGATTCCCTTCTGTTTGTTCTGTGGTATGAATTGATCGTATACATCCTGATAAAAAAGAATTTTGAGGTTAATTCCACTATCACAGATAATGAATTTGGAAGATGTGCCCCCATCTCGACGATGAGCACTGCTTTTTGTGGGGGGTCGTGGACATAAATTGCGTAGCACTTTGGCTTTTGTATTGTCTTGCGCATTCATTACGTAATCGTAACATATTATAGTGGTACAAATAATTGTATCCTGGGGAGTTTTGAGGATTATAATAATAATAAAATCGCTCAAAATTCCATGACGTTACAAGTTTTTTTACCCGGAATATCCGGTACTATTCATATTATGATATATGATTATTACCATTATTACTCTGGTTAGAATTATTATTGCTAAAATTTGGCCTATTATATTGATTGTTGTATTCTCCACGATTTTATTGAAATTACTATACCCGCTATTATTACGTCGATTAAAATTATTATTTCCGCAAGTCAGCCTACGCTCCCTGGATAGTGACTATTTATTAGAGTGATTCCTACTACTACTATTATTATTATTATTATTAGCTATCATGTTGTACACTGGTTACGATATTATGTTAAAGGTCCATGAAAATAAATTCAATAGTGAATAGACCGATGATCAGTCTGCTTTCACCAATGATGGTAGAAGATTATGGGTCATCCGATGATTGGTGATAGTTACGTGGTCGTGGCTGGATAGTGCGTAGCCGTGGTGGTGAACTGCATGGAAGCGGTGGACACACATCCACACCTTCCATGATTGGTATTTTCATTAGTCCGTCGGTTAATTTCAATAATTTTATATTTAAAAAATTTTCATTGTTCGACTTCCTTTGGGTGCAACATAACTACACAACCTCCCTGGTAGGCAATTCGCAGAATGTGAAGAATTCGGAAAATGTGTGACAGCATATTGTAACGTACCAACCACTTCAACTCAATATTGATGGTATTTTGAATTAAAATAACAAGTTGATGGTATAATGATAGTTTATTTGTATTTATTTAACACGAAAAATATTCTAAGTCCAAATAATTAAATTATAAAATTGTGGTAAACGGGTTGTGACTTAGTATCGACTTTGTGGCTGTTCTGCTAGTGCTCGTCGTCTTGGCTGGTGTTCGTCTGATGGACACTTGTCCATCGACGTATTTCGTCGGTTTTCCTATTAGATCCCTCCTATGGCGTTTTTAGTATAAAAATGGTACATAGCTGCGTACACCTGACGTCATTTCGGCGTCCTCTACAAAATAATGTTAATTGGGATTATATGTTTTCAAAGTTATCTATTTTTGTTATTTACGGCTTTTTCGTATTTCCTAGAATATGGATAATGCGCGCGTTCTATACTCTTATCGATGTGGCCGCCCGGACGCTTATATTATTACTATTATCGGGTTACGTGCCCTCTGCAGCATTTATATCTGTTATTGAATATAATATATTATATTATAAGCGTATTATACTTAATACAGCATAATATAATATATTATTTTATATATTATTACTATTATAATATGTACGTAGTCACAGCCCGTTACAATATCAATTAGGCTATTTGCAAAAATTGTATTTGATGCATACTTGCACCTGATCTGCCCGATTAACCAATAGCAACCAAATAATAAATACTAAAATCTAATAATTATTTTTCCTATAACCAATAGCAACCATTTATAAACAAAAATGTAAACCGTAAATCTCATTATCTCAAAATCCCCATTTAAGCAGCTCCCCGGGTTGGACCTAAAATACTTTACGATACTCAAATAATTGACAACTTATTCTCATACCTAACTAATTATCCAAAAAAAATTCATTAAAATCGGTCGATCACAAAAGCCGTGACACGATATTTTTATGTATTAAATAATATTATTATTTGATTAGGATAAACGGATACAAAGAGTATATAATATAAGTGATTATGTCATTATGCAATTTCAACATGCACACCTTTTTAAGAAAATAATTCAAGTGTGTTCTATCTAGTATCTACTTGTATTACTTTTATTAATTTATCTAAAGAAAATTTAAAAAAATGTATTGACATAATTTTGGCGTTGTATAAATTATTTTCAGTCCCTTTTAAGAACGGAGATATTTCTATTGAAAATGTTAAAAATGCATTGTTATTGTTTCCACCTAATAGTTCTTTGGCAAAATGCAAAGATGCAGAAGCAGTTCAAGCTGAATTGGACATTTTGAGAAGTATTGCAATTCAGTCTGATTTGACAACTGCTAATACATTTAAAAAATATGAATAGATGAAACATATTTTGCCATTAGCAAAAACAGTTTGTGATCTAGCTCTTACCGCTCCAGTCAGTGTTGCAACAAATGAGAGAACTTTTAGTAATCTTAAACTCATAAAAACCCACTTAAGGTCTATAATTAGTGACTCCAGATTAAATTCAATGATGGTCCTTGGTATAGAGAAGGACGTAGTAGATAAACTTAATTTGAGCAATATTGTCAATGATTGGGCATCTTTAAAAAATCGAAGAATTCGATTATTGTAATTTTTAAATTATTTTATGTATTTATAATTGATATTTATATACCCTACAAAATTATAATTAAAAAATAATAGAATTTGCATTTTAAATACACAATTGTTCTTTTTTTTTTATAAAATTATAAGTGTATATATAGGTTATTACTTATTACTAATTAAAAAAGATAAAATTAAATTTCTTTTTTAAACTATTATTTTTATTGATACTCATAGGTGCAATAAGGGAGGGGGTGGCTTAGCTCTCCCAGTTTTATCCATAGCTCTCCCCCTCACAGTTTACAAACGATATTACTTGAAGCTTATTAAATTATTGAGACCATTTAATTACATCTAACAAAATAATAGAATATTTATTGACATTTATATAATATAACACGTGTATCGCAGCTTATCAGTAATAATTTCCAATAGGAAATTTATTTTTAGATTTATGCTCATATGACAGAAAAAAACCTTTTCGACGAAGGTTAATATAGTTTATGACAGGGGTCGCCAACCTTTTCAAACAAGTGAGCTACATTTGAAATTTTTAGTCCCAGGTGATCGACATCTAGGAGAATTTAAGTCTTTAGGAAGATGTGTTTGGATTATTGGATGTGATGGATTAGTTTTATGAGAAAAAAAAAAAAAGCTCCAAAGAATAAATATTTATTGTTTCTTCATGATGATAATAATAATAATGTAATATATTGACAATACACGAGAAAAAGTAAAAAAAAAATTTATAAATGTGATATTGTTATTTAAATAATGTGATTTTATAAATTTATTAATGTGACAACTGGCATTGGTTTCCTGCAAGTTTTGAAAATTCTGGTTAATAATTAGAAACAGCTGCTCGTCAACTTGAATCCAAATTACTTTCTGTAATTCTTGACCGATATTTTGTACTTTAAGTATGTCATACTCGAAAATGTTGACAAATGTTTAGGAAACTGGATCCTAGGAATTTGTTGGGACAGTACTTGTTCAATTATTATGAACTACAGTACCCAAACATAATAATAATAATATTAATAATTTATGACAATATGCAAAACTATATGAAAAATATATC